CATATATCCGAGGCTGTGACTTTCGTTCTGGACTCAACTACTGGGCTAGATAGGGAAGCGGGACCAATCAGAACCCTAGGTCGTTTTACGTGTTTGCGTGTCTTTGGTCCGATCGACAAATCGCTACCCTCAAATCAGCTACTGTCTCACAGATATAACAAGTCCTTGATGGACTCACAGACTACTCCGCCTGAGTCCCGAAGTAATGCCCCTTCAAACATTGCTGTGAGTCACTCGCTCCACTCCCATGACTCTGTTACAATGAAAATTAATTGTAAGATCCCGGTGGTTAATATGCGGAATCAAACATCACAATCGAAAGAAGTGAACACGATTTCAAAAGAAGTGGAACCTCTTCCTAGTTAAATTATTTGGAATCTGGAGGCGTAGAAAGACAATGACCCTGCTAAAAGACATGTACATGATCTGCGGCTAATTGAATCTGTGATAAGAATTGTGGTACTTGAAGAGGTTTCGTGGATACATATGATGAAAGTAATCCGACTCTGTAAATGGGTCTGAGGTGAAACCCAACTAAGAAGGAACCTTAAGTTAGTTCTCGGGAATTTGGAAGAAAGAGACATAATATTGAATAACGCACAAAAACCTCGTGATTGAAATATTCGTATACGACCAGATTGGCTGCCTGAGGATCGAATAAAGTGGAAGAATGCTCTTAAGGAGATAAGAACTGGAAAGCTAAACGGAGAAACTAACCTTACCATAAAGGGTTTTTGGGTAGTCAGGTCTTGGAAACCAGTGCTTCCGAGGCCTGTATGAGTAGAACGAATGATTACCAAAACACCTTAGGTGTGTGCCACACAAACGCCCGTAGTATTGCAAATAAAACGTTCGAGCTAAGTCTGGTGGTGGATGAATTAAGTCTCGATATTATTGTTGTTACAGAAACTTGGTTCACCGTAGATAGAGAATGTTCTCCCATCATTGCATGCTTTATCTGCAATAAAAGTGACACAATTTTGAGTCGCAAGGGGGAGGCATAATGTTGTACGTCAGGAATCCCTTTCGTATATAATCAGTCATATCGGAGGCGTACATGTGAGGTAGCATGTTGTAAAATTAAATAGAAAAATGGGTTAGTTACTATATGGAGAGTATACCGTAGTCCGTGTTGTCTTGTTGACGACTTTATCTTAAGACACACCTGTTCTTGGAGTATGGCATAATGTCTCATAATTGGTGACTTCAACGCACTGCATATCAACTGGATAGAGCTTATAGCTCCATGTGATGATTTCGATAACGACCTTTTATCAACCGCTATTTAGTGGGCACTTGTACACCGTATTGCAAAACCGACACATATTGACTTGAAACATGATCCGTCACTGCAGGACCTTGCCCTTATCCACTACTGTGAGGATGTCTTTGATATTCAGCACCTTCCTTCACTATTGAACAGTAATCACGTTGTAATTCACTTTAAGTTTAGGACGCATGGTACACAATTCGTATCTGCTCAACCCCATCCCAATATCTGGCGAGCTAATATTCTGGCAATCAGAGCCTGTGCTATCTCGACAGATTGGTCGGTCGACGCGGATAGATTGATCGAAGAATAATGGAATAAGTTTAGGGCTACACCCGACTCCGTAACGTCACCGTTTATCCCATGGCCAGCACGTAAGCTATCACATTGCCCCCCATGGATTAGTAAGGAAACCCGGAAGCTGTTAAAGCGTAGGAAACACTTCTGGGACTTATTCTTGTCGACAGGTCATGTATCATTTAGGTGTGAGTATCGAAAATTCCGGAATATTTGTAAGAAAACCATAACTAAATCCCGTACTACTTGCGAACGACAGTTGGCATATATAAGCCATACTTGTCTGAAACGATTATTTTCGCATGTTAAACGGCGAGTGAAACGTAGTGATGGTGTTCCCCCGTTATTGTTACATAAAAATTCAGATTTACTAGCTGAATCAGATAAGGTAAAAATTTAGACTTTTTAAAACTATTTTAGCGAAGTCTACTCTACGTTTATTGCGACAAATACTTGTCTCACTCACACTGAGATACCAGCCATTGAATCTGTACAGGTGACTGAGGAAACTGTTTTTCATTGATAACTAACCTTAAACTTTGTAAAATACCGGGCCCTGATTGGTTACATCTACGACTTGTGGACATTATTTCAAAACCGCTAGCGACATTCTTCAACATGTCCCTTTCACTCGCACAATTCCCTAGAGATTGGAAAGACGCCATAATCAGTCCCATATTTATGGATAGTCAGAGACAGATCGTATCTAACTACCAGCCCGTCAGTCTAACCAGCATAGTCGTTAAGTTACTTGAAAAGATAATTCGGGTTAAGTTGCTAAGTCACCTAGATTCACACAATTTGTTAGCTCTTGAACAACATGGATTTTGTAACAAGCGTTCATGCTTGAATAACTTACTTATTGCGAGAGAGGATTGCACAGCAGCGTTAGACATAGGTCTGTCTATTGATGTGATATTCATAGATTTTGGCAAAGCATTTAACATGATCTCACACTTGGAACTTATGTAGAAGCTCTCGAGCTTTTTCGACAATAAATGCTGTACAAGAATGGATAGGAAACTTCTTACGTGACCGCATACAGAGAGTGAGGGTCAATGGGACGCTATCGGAATGGAAGCCGGTCAACAGTGGTGTACCTCTAGGCACCGTATTAGGTCTATCTTCATTTTTCTTTGTTAATTAGTTACCGCCATTGCTGTCGTAGCCTTCAGTTTTGTCATCAAAACTAAGCTAAGGTATCCCAACAATAATTTGCGTTGGAATTTTAGACGGCTGAATGTGCCAGCTCTACATGACTATCTACAACAGGTGGTTTGGGATGTTCACCCTCAACTCAATGTGGACGGTCATTGGGACTTCTTACTGCACACGCTCTTATGTGTTACAAACCATTCAGTTCCTCAAACGGTTCCCGAAAGCTGCAAGCCACCTACAGTAATCAAGAACCGTACCCTTCGCCTGCTGAGCCGCAAAAGGCACTGTTGGGCGGAATACAAACGAACTGATAACGACGGAGCGTATAGGCAATATAAACATATCAGGAACATATGCACGAAGGCTATAAGAAATGACAGGCTTCATTACCAGACAAAGCTTATGGACAAATTCGCCTCGAACCCTAGAAGCCTATTCCGTTATGCAGCCTCTCTTCATCAAGCCAAAACAGGAGTTTCTAAACTGCTAGGTCTTAACGGCCCGACCAATAACGATGGCGACGCCGCTAACCTTCTGGCGGCACATTACTCTCAAACATTTCAGCCGGCTGACATCAACTTTATTGACGACAGTTTCATCTGCAATTCCACAGGGCTTTCCGAAGTGGACTTAAGCGCTGACTTGGTGTTCCGGAAACTGCAGCACTTAAGATTAGATACTTCTCCTGGCCCAGATATGGTTCATTCTGCCATAGTGAGGGAGGCAGCCTCAATCCTGGCTACGCCGCTTAGCGTGATGTTTTCACACTCGCTAAGCCGAGGCAAATTACCGGAAAATTGGAAGTTGGCTCACATCACACCAATTTTCAAAGGTGGCCGACGCAATGAACCTTCAAGTTATCGGCAGGTGGCTCTTCTGTCATTACCTTCAAAACTCGTGGAGTCCCTGATATGCGGTGGTTTAAACGACTATCTACTGTCCTTAAATTTCTTCTCACCCCAACAGCATGGTTTCAGGAAGGCTTACTCTTGTATAACCAACCTGCTGACTGCGGTGGACAGATGGACAAGCATCCTCGGTCGCAAGGGAAATGTTGATATCATTGACCTTGATTTCTCAAAAGCTTTTGATATGGTTAACCATACATGTCTTATCAATAAGCTCAAACGGCTAAGTATCAAACCACCTCTAATCGATTGGCTTACTTCATACCTAAAAAATCGACATTTTAAGGTCAGGGTTAATTTCACTTTATCTCAGGCTATGGAATGTCCTAGTGGAGTCCCCCAGGGCTCGGTATTAGGGCCTCTTCTCTTCTTGATCTACATAAACGATCTTCCTCAACAGATAACATCAGACTTATTACTTTTTGCCGACGACGTGAGAGGTTGGAGAGAGATACGCAACCAAGACGATACACAGGCGCTTCAGGAGGATCTGACTCGACTTCAAAGTTGGGCAGACGATAACGGACTTACCTTTAACACTTCAAACTGTAAAGCAGTAGATCTGCGACATGTCGCAAACTACAGTTACAACTTAGGAAACTCCTCTCTACTAATATCCCAAGTCGAAAAAGATTTAGGAGTTCTGGTGCCCCATGATTTAAAGTCTTACGCTAATTGTGACAAAAATGCCTTCCGAGCAAACCTTGCACGAGTAACATTGAAGCTCATTTTTGGCCAGTTTGACGGAAGAACTTTCCATATAATCTTTAATAGTTTCATCTGTCCCTATTTAGAGTACGGAAAAATAGTATCTCCCCCCTCACTCCAAAAGGATAAGGACACCCTGGAGCGTATTCAACGGCGAGCCACGAAATCAGTTCGAGGACCCAAATTTAAACCTTACGAAGAGCGCCTCCATTCACTTAACCTTTACCCATTAGAGTATAGACGTCTTAGAGGTGACCTTCTGATGGCTTATAGTATCCTTAACACTTCTGGGCATCCTCTCAAACACCTACTCAAGCTTAGTTCGAATAATAAACTAAGGGGTAACACCCAGAAACTGGAAACACAATATAGCAAGACGGAATGTAGATACAACTTCTACTTCTTAAGAGCTGTCAAAAGCTGGAATTCGCTGCCGGCCGAGCTAGTCCAAGCGATTTCGCAGGAGTCCTTCAAGAGGCAACTTGACCTATTCTTAAGGACCAAGGACAGCATCACACTATGATTTACCAATTTCTTTTACTCTTTTATTGTTAACATACCTAGGTTCTTGCCTGGAGGATTTGGTGATCCCCTGCTACTAGACACGGAAGCCTGTTAAGCGAAAGCTTCTTCTATTCCGTCCACAACCATTTGAACCATTTAGCTAACGCGCGTTGATCTGTTCAAGGTTACGGTAAGTGCTCACTTCGGTATTTGTTCTCTTATTTTATCTTATATCGTAACTGCATATCATGTGTGGAGGATCTTTACTCTGCCTAGTCGTTTGATGGCTGCTTGATTATCCAATACACACCAACACAACACCATATCCCAAATGTATACATGTATATGTATACATGCATGCATATGCACGTATAAATGTATACGTGCAAAGTTGGGAGATTAGATATACATGCATCTGAAGAACTAATATTAGTTTTTGTAATTTTTATAACAGTGGTTTCTTAAAATCTGACATCATAGACCGTAAAAAGGTTAAGAGATCCAAAGACCGTAGTTGTGTCTCTCTTACTGAATAAGTTTATAAAAATACAATAGTACCTGAACCCAATCTCCCTATTTTGGGCGAAAATTTGTGTGTTTAAGGGAAAACCCCGAAATAGGCAGATAGGGACGGGTATATACACTAACAGGGGTTCGTCAGTTTCATTCAAAATTTTACGGGCCTTCACCACTAACAAACAGGGTTGTCGTGGTTACATTTTTTGTCCTGTAATTGTGCACATGGCAATGCTCAGCTGAGTATTATTGACAGCCTTTGTTAGCGGTGGTTATAATTGACTAGTTTAATGTTAGTTGCGATACACAATTCAGGGGAAATACCTTTACATAACTCACTACATTCAAACATAATTTTTCAAACCTAACGTTCGATAGTGTTGTACAAGTTGTCATTGTTGGAAAGTGAGCACCTAAACCCGTAATTGTTAAAAAATTAAATTTTCAATAGTTGACAGATTTTGATTTTTGAGTGTAAGATAATGTTTCATGTTCTCTTGGGCCAGTACGTATTCATTCACCAAGTAAATAGCAATGACTTGGACATAGTTTTCGCTGTAGTTGTTACGTATTTTCAGTCATTGCTTACTGCAATGAAGAAAGTTAAATATCGATGTAATCACCCGTCGTTGCTACCTTGACGTGGTGGTCGAGCTTGCCTATCGTGATGAAATAGCCGAGCTATACTGTCTTCAAAGCATTGCTCGTATATCCTGTGACCACAGAGTAAGTAATACAGTTGTTAGGAAACGGGTACTAGGTAAGGGTGGCAAATCAATTGACGAATTAGTGAAACGTCATCATTTGAGATGTCTGGGACATGTGTTACGTATGCCCAACTACCGACTGCCCCGACGTGCGATGTTTTATGATGTAGGAGTAGATTGGAAGAAAGCTGGGGGCGGCCAGACCAAAACATGGCACAAGTCCATGAAGTCACTGACAAGTGGTCTGAGTCATGTTGATAGGTATAGACTACCTGGTTGGGGACCGCGAGATGATAGCAACCGATGGTTAGAGACCTTGAATGACATGGCTCAAAATCGTTTGCAATGGCACAGGTGCATTCACTCTTTGTGTTCTCCCAAATTCTAATCTTCAGAATACTTCATATCCCTTTTTCTCTTTCCAAATTCATTTCACTGGATTATACACCTTGAATAATATCTTCCAGCACTAATCTTTCCGATTATTGCCTATATATTTACTACTTCTACCACTATGAGATTTAAATCGACAATTCTATCTCTGCTAATGTGGTATGGTAGCTCGAACTGATGTACGTACGTACGAAGTTCTACGTTGATGATGAGTGACTTACAAGTTGCTTTTCATCCTTTTCATGTTTGCTTCCAATTCTCGACATAGTATAATCTTTGGCCTTCCTCTTTTCCGCCTCATCCCAGGATTCCGATTTCCAGCTTACCTCGTGATGCAGTTTGTTGACTTCCACAATGTTTATCCTATCCACCTCCAGCGTATTTTCCTAATTTCCTCTTCACCTGGGATTTGGTTTGTTCTCTCTCGCAGTAGGTTGTTGCTGATAGTGCCTGGCCAAAAAATTGGAATATCTTACGTAGACAATTGTGTATAAATACTTGTACTTTTTTACGATAGTTTTAGTGGTTCTCCACATTTCAGTTCCGTACAATAGAACTGTGTTGACATTCGTATTGAAGATTCTGACTTTGATGTTGACTGGCAGTTGTTTTGAGTTCCATATGTTCTTTAACTGTATGGATGCTGCCCCTGCTTTGCCAATCCTCACATTTACGCCAACATCTGATCCGCCTTGTTCATCGATGATGCTTCCCGAGTACGTAAAGGATTCCACATCTCCCAGAGCTTCTCCATCAAGTGTGATTGGGTTTATGTTCTCCGTGCTTTATTTGAGGATCTTGCTTTTTCCTTTGTGTATGTCGAGACCTACTGATGCAGAAGTTGCTGCTACACTAGTTGTCTTCATCTGCATTTGTTCGTGTGTATGTGATAGGAGGTCTAGGTCATCCTGCGAAGTCCAAATCGTCTAATTGTTTCTGAGCTGTCCATTGTATTCCGTGTTTTCCCTCAGATGTCGAGGTCTTCATAATCTAGTCAACCACCAGAAGAAAGAGGAAGGAGGAGAATAAACAGCCTTGTCTGACTCGGGCCCTTAATTGGAATGCATCTGTCAGCTGTCCTCCATGCACGACTTTGCACTGTAGTCCGTCGTATGAGTTCCGTATGATGTTGACGATCTTTTCAGATACTCACACCATAGTGTCGAAGAAGTTTCCATAAAATCCTCCTATCCACACTGTCAAATGCCTTCTCATAGTCCATGAAGTTGATGTATAGTGATGAGTTCCACTCGTCAGAGTTATCTTGAATTCGTTAAGTTTGTCAGTATTTCGAAGGAACACTGTATTGAACCTTCGTAATGCTGTTTGTCCAGCTGTCCAGCATTTCTTTTAGCTTCAGTTTCATTTTGGCTACAATCAAGTGGTGATCTCCTGGTTCTTACGTCTTTTATTGTCCTTCTGAACTTTTTATTGAGGCAAATATGATCTATCTGGTTCTTCGTGGTGTGATCCGGTGAGACCCATGTAGCTTTGTGTGGGAATATTGTGTCACCTATGACCAAGTTGTTGAATGTGCATAGATTTGAAAATCTCTCACCATTTTCGTTTCTCCCAGTCAGTCCATGTCGTCCCATGATATCTTCATATCCGGTGTTGTCCATTCCGACTTTGGCATTTAGGTCTCACATTAAGATGGCGAGATCTTTTCTTGGGCACTTCACTATGATTGATTGCAGCCTCTCATAAAACTGATCGTTGTCGTTGCTATCATTTGTAGGTGCACAACATTTCTTGTGATTCCCTCCATTGTTTTGATGGGTGCTATGGCGATTCTGGATCCATTAGATTCCTATCGTATAAATGCATTTCGTGCTTCTTTGAGCAGCATCAGAGTAACTCCTTGTATGTGCAAAGCATTTTCCTTTTCGTGGTCGTAGTAAACCAGCATTTCTCCTGAATTCAATATTTTCTGTTTCGCTTATTTCGAGCACCGCTAAGTTGTATCTCCTTATTTCTGCAGCTATCTGGTTGATCCTCCTAGTCTCCCACATTAATAGGAAATCCCATGTGCCTATATTAATTGTTGCTCTGGTTGTCAGAAAGGGCATCGGCCTCATGACTTCTGAAGAATTTCGGTTTTCACCATGAGGCCCCATTGCTTTTCTGAATGACAATCATTCAACTAGGAGGGCAGAGTTTAAATGGTTTAGACTTTTTTCAGAAAAGTTTTCTGCGGGATAGGGTTGCTGACCCCATGCCCAAATCTCCTTTACCCGAGCTTGGAACCAACAGTAACCTTAAAAGAACTACAGGCGGTGTTAAATGAGTGTATAGATTCATAAGATTGTATATAACCACATTGTTGCGTAAACAATGGATTTCTGCTTAATCACCAAATATGTAACTCAATAAAAAAGCCACTAAAATTTTAAACTTATCAGTAGATTATTTAGTCCCTATATATTTGTTTTCGATTGGGTGGACTCTTTGAAGCGATTAAAAACAGTACTTTTACACTAATTGGATTTATTGTTTACTATTTTAGATCATATGGATATAAACGAAGGTCTGTTTAACGAATCAGGTAATGGGTTTCTCATCATGAGAAAAACTTCACATTTAGTTTACTATTAAATACGCTGTTGTTCATTGTCTGTCTTACCAATTGTTTTTTCTTCCAAAGTTGATATTATCTTCTATATGATTTAACTATTTACCCAAAATCTATAGCGAAATTGAATATTTTTATGTAGACCTAGTTATTTCTTCCATATTAAAAATCTCCCTTACGTTTGTTACTTGCTTTGTGATGTCCGCCTGTTGTTTTGTATATAGATTTCGCCTATAAGTGTAATGGATATTATTAGTTTAGGCTTAGTTATTGTCGTCTATTATATCTCGCCGCTGCCAACAATTATCCGATTTACTACATTTACCTCAATCTGATTTTATGTCGGATTTCAGGAGAATATGAACAAACCATAGATGAGCAAATCCCAGCAATATACACTTCGGAGGATGAGCGTATTCGGACACCAGCTATCTTATCAGATACATGTAAGTGTCTAATCATGGTTCTTGAACTGATTTCATATAAATTATAGCGCGCTCACCCATTTTTTCTGATAACCGTCAGCAAGTAGTACAACCGTTAAAAAGTGATAATAAGCATGCGGAAAACGATACAAATAATTCATCAGTACCAACAAAGAAAGCTAGATTAGCAAGTAAGTGTATAACGCAGTTCATTTCCTTTTACTCAATAGTTCCTTCGGGTTTAGTTTCATATGCCATCGACGAAGATGATGATGAGCATACGGTGTTAGATACAGATCAGAACACTGATTCTGACGATGAAAATGACCCTAAATCAAAAAGTGATCATGGATTCCATCTTGGTAGTATGGATATCCCGTTGGATAATTCTGGTGGACCCCCAACTATTTTCAGTTCTGACCAGCCTATCAACATCTTGTCCCAAAACCAAGTTCATATTTCAGAACCAGTAAATGATGTAAAAAATCCAAACTTAATCACTATTGAAGCGAAAGCAGAAAGTCCCACTCTTACAGAACGCCTTATTCAAGCGGTTCAATTGCCCTCTGAACCTACCGGTCACTGTTCAATGGTGCTTCAAGAAAGAGTAGAGCGAGCAGTACGTCGTATGCGCTTGGATATAAGCTACGATCCTAACAGAGCAATTCAAGATAACAAAGCGTTTCGTAATCCCAGGTTTGTAAGCGTGTGGACAAACATAAACTCAGTTTTATTTTAGTATTTATGAAAAGCTGATCGATTTTTTGAAAATTGACGAGAAAGGAACTAACTTCTCTACAGTAAGTCTATTGTTACAAATGTCTAATATCATGTAATTCATATATACTAATCTAGTGTTTGTGTGCTTAGTAAATTATATTGATATTGAAGTGTAAAGAAGAGGTCATTTTATGTGTTAACTATGTGTTTAACAAGTATAAATGCCATAAAAACGGCAGAAAATATTGATATGTTTAAAATAGTGTGAAGATCTCTGTACGGTAGTTCTGGGTTTTAGTGAGACACAGATTAGTATAATGATGTTTTCCATATTGTCCACTCACATATTCGCGTAACCGCAACTGATTTTGAACCATAGATTACAATTTGCTTGTATATTTCAGACAGGAAACGCGTATCTCCTCTACGCGGTTCAGATCAATATCTAATGAATTAGTAAACTGGTCTCGTATCTTAGTATAATCCCTCTGATTCCAATCTACTTATTGTTTTGCCAACATATCATACTAGTATAGGGGTTGGCTACGACGCGTTACGTACGTACAGTTAAAATCTATGATAGTGCATAGCTTTATTCACTGACTTACCACATTAACATAGGTGTGAGGGCTGTTAATACTAAATGATCGCCCAAACTCAAGTAGGGAGATTGAGGTTTGAGCCTTCGACTGTGGGTGAAAGTCGAACGCCCTAACCACTGGAATACCATCAAACTGATAAGTATTCATTTTGATAGAATATACAAACAGATTGATGTGGTATTATAATAGCATCTTATGTAGATTCCTATGTTATTTTATGGGTAAAACATAAAGCTAAGTCTTTGTTTGGTAACCAATGTAGCTGAGTTTATCAAACTTATTTTATACTATTCACTCATTGTATGTAAAAACATTTCATATGTGAAACTTTATGAAGGCTGATTGTACGTAATATATCATAAGTACTTTGTGACTCATACTTTGATCAGGATATATATGATCCCTATCGTTGGACTCCGCAGTCATATTATGAAGAACTTGCAAAGGTGCAAAATCGTGAAATCGACCGACTGATGAAAATGCAAAAAGAACTTAAAAAATCTGACCCAAATACAACGAATGCAAACAACAGCACAAGTGCGAATGCACCTAAAAATCCAATTACTAGCACAGACAAACCCAGTACAACATCTGGAGGGTCCGTTTCTACGGGGTACATAGGTTAGCTAATGTATTTTTCTGAACTATATATATTTCTCCTTTAAAAAACGTGCTGAAGAAAGTGTAGATATGACACTGTCATAACACACATGAATCGTAAGTAAATGTAAAAAGAACATTTTTTCTCATATATAAAAAATTTGATTCATTGCTAAATATAGTAGATGGTGATGTCCCCGAATGAGTAAATCACTTTATAAATGTTATTCGTAAAAGAATCTGCTTCATGCTCACTTTTGCCTTATCAACAAATCCTGAATATAGGGTCTAAAAATTAAGGGCGGAAATAACAAATCTAGTACTCTAACAGTTGAGATTGAAATTATACTAACCAACTACATTTTCAAAGTAATTTTGTCTGTTTTTAAGATAACCTGTTACATAGTCTCGTATATGATTTCCAGGATGTTATATAGAATGGTCAGTTTAGTATGTTATATTGTGTCGTAAATTGAGTACAAAACCAGTACTCAATGAACACCTGGAGATATGTAAGTTAGGCTTGAATTATACTTCACATGCACTTCCAACCCCCCAAAAGAAACATTCATTATTTACAAAGTAATAGGTTGTACCTAAATAGTGTTTGCTATAATGTAGTTAACAAACATTTCCATTCTTTGTGTTGTAAATCTTGTCTAGCAGTAAAAACCTTTTTATTTTTTACATAGATTTAGGAATACAGACTATTTAGAAGGGAACCTTACACTCGTTTACCGCTAGTGTTTCCGCTATGCGTCTTAGAAATTGCCGATTTCATTCCCACCAATCTTTGATGTTCTTGCTCTAACTGTATTTCGAAGAACGGTCTTTTCAATCATTGTAAACTTATATGTTTTAACAATTACAGATCCATCAAATATATTTTGGTGTAGAAGAGTGGGAAGACTCGTGAAATAACCTTTATAAATCCACTGAATAAAACTACATAGCATTAGTGAAGATAACGAATTGACTTACTATTATTGAAGAAGCAAGTACCAACACAAAACGAAATGTAAGATTTTTCAATAGACTGTTAACTACTGGTATCACTGATAAAGCGAACACTGAATGTAAATTTCATACTAGTTACTCTCAACTTTGAACGATTTCGATTCCGATCAATTATTAAAGTGTAGCTACGATTGTAACATTAGTGACGTTTCATACAATTTTAATAATCCATAGACTAGGAACATAAGACTTGACCTTTTTTGTAGGATTATAGCAAAGCTATAATTACTTGAAGGACAAAAAAATAGACACAACCTTTTAAAAACAAGCATATCGATCAAAAATCTAAATTTTGTTAGTCAAAAGACAATCCCTTTCGTTTATTTTTAAAAACCTAGAAAACCATACTTTCCAAAAAACACATAACCTATTCATCACTTTTGTAATTACGATTGTAATCAACAAACACAGTTCTTCGAAAGTGTAATTTAAGCGTTATAAAGTCTACTAGCTACAATGATTATAGTGACAGATCGATATTGCTAATAACTCAAAACTCAGAATCCTTTTCATGTAACTTTGTATTCTTGATTCAAATTATCATACTTTTATTTTACAGAACCAAAAAAACCAAGTAAATGGGATACAGGTATTCCTACCAACGTTCAACCCCATGATACATCCTCAGAATCTGTTAAGTTATCTGTTCCTCCTGTTGGAAGTTTGATCAAACGAAATTAAAACTAATCCAAGTTACCAGATAATAACTTTGAAATACGCTGCTCTTTTTATAATTTTTCAAAAATATTTTTCAAGATGTTAATACAACAATAAAAGTGAAATACTCAACCATGTTAATTTGTGTAAAAGAGATCATTTGCTCCAATCAACTAACTGTTAAGAGATAAACGTTTACGCATAGATATAATGATCAGGATTAACTTGAAGTTCCTGATAACTGTCTGCCTCCGTTTTGTGATGTGAGGTTGATGCAGGTAAAGATGATGGGAGATTATGCTTTAGATCAGGTCTAACTTGTGTACCAGGAATGTTCTGATTGTACAGTGCGTTGTTCGCGGGTGACCAATTCATGATAAACGAGTTTGTTGCTCGTGTCCAGTCATCTTTATAAACCTAAAATTGCAGAAAACTTCCCTTTTTAATTCTAAATAACTGAGATGCATTTTCTTAAATTACATATATTGTTCGATTTTCTAAATAACTGCCTGTTGTTATTAATCCATAACCTTCATTAACTGGTTAGTCTTATTTTCTGATGAACATAGTTTTACGAGTTATTCAATCTGTTACACGGTTAATGAAATATAGCTACATAGACGGATACATGGTCTGAATTTGTTTATTGAAGAGCTAGATGATAATTCCATAATTGAGACTTTTCTAAATAACTCATTTACTTAAGAGAATCATAAACATCGTCGACTAACACCAAAAGCTAATCTTACCTAACATGGAAAGCTTTAGGAACATACATCAGTGTATATGAGGGACGCTCCAGACAATATTGAGGTATGACTACAAAGACTGTTAGCCCATGTGAAGCTTAGTAACTCATCTCAACTTGATTTATTAGGATTCGCCTCCACATGACTGAGAGTGGAGAGAGTCAGCTCTCCATCTCGAAATGCTCTCACATGACCACGTGCACACAACTGCCAGGGAAGTCCTACTCACTGCATTCTCGCGGAATTACTGTTGTTTATGAAATTGAGAGGGCGAAAAGCGAATGTCAGATGCTTTAACTGGGCTGGTGGATACGGAGAGTTCACCTAGAGGAGTTGGAAAACCCTGATTCCAATGGTGCACATGGGCTCCAGTATCCTGATGGAACAAAAGGTGTATGAACCTATTGTTGGTGACCGGCTACCATGAAACTGCATCTCCCTACGTTGCTCTGCTGCCTTGTGGATTAAACCTTTGGGTCAAATGCTCGGGGAGTGGCCCCCACACGAATTGAATGATTTGTGTTGCGCATATGTATCTGGTGTCCTTTTGTACCAATGTTTATGCGTTTAAATAAATGGAATAAATATTAGGATTCGCACTGTACATGTTATTTGACTATGGTAGATAATATTCAAGCTACCCAGATGGATTTGAGTGAATTCAAGTTGAAACCTAATTTTTACTGACACAGATGAAACCATTTTATATTTAATCACAAAAAACCACATACCTGTATTGTTAAATATTTCACCAAACTGGAAAGACGGTTGGTTACGTGTGCCAGAACCAACTGCTCATTAGCATCCCGGCGAACACGAACATACAAACTTCCTGCAAGGTCCTTGTATCCAATCGACCATATGTGCTCATTTTGCAGCTCAAGAACACCATCAACTGTAGAGGCTTCTCGAAGCGCTTTATCTAAGGGGCTAACCAAGTGAGCGGGTGTTGTTTGAAGTAGTATCCGGCCACTATAATAAAATCAGAAATTGGTGTTTAACAACAACGTATCTAAGCGATTTGATCCAGAGTAATTAACAAACGAGTCTTATGGTAGATAATCAGTCAAATGGAACGTAGAACCTGTCACACGTGTAAGTCGATTCAAGCTGCCATACCACATTAACACGGTGACGAAATTGTCAAGGCGAATCGCAGAGTAGTAGAGGTAGTAACAGCATCAATGGCAACAGGAAAGGTTGAGCATCCAAGACAATTCGAGAAGTACAAATTAATGAAAAGATAGAAAGAAATTTATGAGGAATTTAGAAACTTAGTATTTAAAGGAAAAGAGAGTGAATGAACCTGCGCCTTTGCGAACGTTTCTACGGCATGTCATTCAGTCTCTGATGAATATAGAGAGCGTGATTCACCCTCGATGTATCTGGAGTAGAGAGCATGTAAAAGGTTAATGTACGTCCTCGATGTGTCTTTTAATGTCAGATACTTCCAAAAAACCTGTTGGTCTGCAGGACGAAATGCTGCCTTATAGTAGACAAATACGATTATCTAGGCAGTGTTTTAGACATTATATTATTTAAACTGGTTCCTCTGTGGTTGTCACAAAAGGGCTTTTGTCATATTTAATTTTAATTTTTTGAACACATAAATATTGGTACAAGACAGCGCCAATATATATGCGCCACACGTCATATTTAATAATGTGGGACGATCACAGAGTCGGGTGGTTATATCGGCATGACATTCATGTTGTTTCGGTGGGGGTAGGCAATCGAAGGATAGCTGGAAAGCAACTGAACTGCTTTCAAACTATTCTATCCATCGTCCTAGTATCCTGGATTGATAGTTAATAATATCACCTTCTTCAGAAGTAGTCTCACTGATTCGGAAATACTTAGTACCTATTCTCTTGTGTCTAGAGTCTGACGGGATGTGTTCCCAAGCACCTGTTCAGTATACGCTGTTGATTCTATACGGACTGTTCTTAACCCTTTAGTTATATTCATTACAGGTATTGCGACTGTCTTCAGGTTTGTTTATATATCATTTTAACCTGCATCACTGACGATCGATTAACTGCTTCTCTAGCCATTCCTGAGGTGTAATCTTGACGTTTTCGTCATTAAGTTGAACTGTAAGGAGCTTCCTTGTTGTAGCTTATATTTGCCAGGTAAGACACAAACAAACACATACTAAAGCATTATCATAGTCTAGAATGAGCAGCAGTTTTCCATTGAGCTTCTCCAACGATGGCTGGTGGCGTCGTTATCTATTTGCATCCATATTAGGGGAGTCGTCATGTCAGACAGTGGCTCTATGCTTAAAGTTGGTGCTTGTTGAGAATTAACAGTCGTCTGACCATATTTGTAGTGCGTGGTCGCCGCTGCCTGTCCGTTGGGCTGGAACATTGTAAGACCAACCTAAGTGTTTTCTACTTTCGTTTGAACTGCCTACGTGGACTACTACATCCGATTGTTTGACTTTTAGGAGAGCAGAAAGTTTCTTAAGAAACTCATTCGACTTGCAGTCGGCGGAAGTGTACGCTGTGATGTGAAGGAGATGGGTTGTCTCTTTATCTTTCTGTGTTCTTACTTTCCTATTTAGTCGGGCAGCGAGCAAGCGATTGTTTGTCTGAATCGTTTAAGGTAAAGCCCGTCCCGCTTTTCGACTTCGTGCTTTACCTGCGCCAGTGGGGCCACGAAAGATGTCAGTCAAGTCTCCAGATACACGGAGGATAAACCGTGCAGGTTCTCTGTATTGACTTTATTTATTTATTTGAACACAAATATTGGTACAAGAGAGCGCCAATATATATGTATTGACTAGGTCAGGTCAAGTAAATGACCACACTTGGATCCTGCATGTGTTTTGGAGATGCATTATACATCAATAGCACAGGATTCTAGAGTCTTAGCTAAGGAATCCTGTTGGCTTATTTGATCCAAATGCTGAGAGCTCCAATATGTAATTTAGAAGTCGGTTTCAAGAAACCAGTAATAACATCTCGTGGACCCAAATATTTAACGTTGGTGTTAAATAAGCATTAAGTCGTAAGAGAAGGATCGGTGATGAGAGTAGAAGAAATATCAAAGGTTCTGACAATGAACAACAGAAATTCTAGTGCTATTATAGGTATGAGGGTGGTTGTTGCTTTTCAGCTCCCCACAGCGTGGAAGGAGAAATAAGTATGTAGAGTACTAAAAGTACAGCTATCTGTATAACACCCTATCAACCATATTTGGTCTTTTTCTATATCAATCACTTGCTATATACCACAGTATAGACTATGGCACACTTGTGATTATTGACATCAGATGCTATTCTTACTTGTACACGCATTACTTTTACGTATAACGTTGAAAATAATAGCAAGAACCGTAGTAGACCAAACTCAAATAGCATTAAACATTGGTATGAAAAATTCACCCCACAAATTAAATAATGTATTCCTCTTATACTTTGACTGCATCACGTAAGCAGTAGTGGAATGCCTATATGGAAATGTAATTGCGTCGAATAATCACGTTTTTATAAGTACCAGATTCCAGTCAGATTTTAAAGGACCTGTGGTAGTTGAACTTTCTTTAAAACTGTGCATTCCTTTTGTGAACATTTCGTTGCCAAAATTTCTTGTAGAAACAAAGCGAGCCGCATACATTCTCACTTTTTGATGGTCCCCATTTTATAGACACATGGTTGAATCTTAGGTCATGAATCATACATAGTCTTTCACATATGCGTTAAGTAGCATAATCAGATATAAGCCATTATTAAATCAATACCCTTGGCTTAATGAGAACTGCGATGAACTCAATGACTTTTTAGATTTAAATGCGTAGTAGTTGCTCCACTGCCTTGTGGATTAAGCCTCTGAGTCAAAGGGTTCGGGTTTGGCCCCCCAAGAAATCCACCTGCTTCGGTTTGGGCGCCTGGGCAGTATTACAGCCCACACGCAAATAAAATGACAATATTTATTAGAAGTACTGTTCTTTTTCCAATTAAAATTCAGACAACTCATATCCATTTGACAACATTCATTTTGATTTTTTATACACTACGTCACTTATATACTCTCTTTTATTCCCACTTTGTGTATCTTTATTTTTCAACTTATACAGCAGCTCGCCTATGGTGGAAACTCGGTTTTATTTAAACGTTCTCGAGTCACTGCCTGGTTGAAAATTGTATGCTATCACCAAATACAAATACTGAAGCAGTTTTTCAGGAACCACGTGCACCATTCAAACCGGCTACCTTCAACGTTCGCAGACTTATGCAGGTTGGACAACAGATAAAGCTGGCTATGTCTTTGGAAAGTCTTAATATCGATGTCTGTTGTCTATCCGAAACCCGTATTCAAGACTCTGGCGAAGTACTACAAATCCGCTTGCCATCTATCGCTCCGAAAAGCTTGTTTTGCGTGCGTTTATCCGAGGACCCTGTAGTATCTTCGTCTGGTTTTGCTGGCGTTGCTGTCGCACTAAGCGCTAGAGATGGGGCAGCACTAATCGATTGGATCCCCAGTCGGTTATGTGTTGTTAGATTAGGAAGTTCCATCAAAGTAAGAAGAAATCGGCGTGAGAAACGATGTCTTTTCATCATCTCCGCCTATGCTACGACAGATTGCAGTCCGGGTGCGATCAAGGATGAGTTTTACTACCAATTAACAGTTCTTCTACAAAAAGTGCGTTGGACAGATATTATAGTACTAGCCGGAGACTTGGATGCTCAGGTCGGGAGTCTAGGCACAGAAGAAAGTCGAGATAAGATGGTGGTTGAAGGTAGTAAACAGGAACCCCTGGATCCAGGTTTCGTGATACTTGGCACACTTCAGCAAGGTGTACCTGTAATCTTGAGGGAACTAGTGTTCCCCGATGGATTCGATCCCGTGTCACCCAGCTTCACAGTCAGAAACGTTATCACTGGGCTATCTGGGCAGCGACCGACCTCCTGTTGATTACCTTCAACCACCATCTTATCTCAACATAGTGCACGCAATGTCGAGTCACCTAGACTGTTGGCCACAATGCAACTTCGTGGATAGCACTCGATCTGCACTAAGAAGGACTTGACACACATGACATTGATCACTACCCAGTGATCAATCAATTGTGAACAGAAGAGTTATTTAGGTGGCCGATAGGGACTAGTTGGTCGCAGGTCAGATAACGGGGACCGTCTACTGCAACTTTGCACAGACCACAACCTGTTTCTGGCTAGCACTAACTTTCGGCACAGTCATCGCCGATGTGCCACCTGGCGTCCTCCCCCTGTATCTCAAGCCTGGACTCAGATTAATTACATCGCGATCAGCTACCGCTGGCGTGGTTGTATACAAGATTGCTGCCCCTTATGGAGTACCTATCTGGACTCTGACCATGCCTTGGTCTGCGCCAATCTTACCTTACTTTTCAGTGATTAACGAAGTGACCGCCACCAAAGGATTGATGTCAGCTAGTTGGTTGCAACTTCTGGTGCGAGTAAGTATCGGACCGAGCTAGCTTCTAGGCTAGCTACCATCCCACCGAAAAGTAAAGATGAGCATTGGTCGCAATTACATGACGCCATGAAAATAGTGGGTACAGTCAGTTGTGGGTTCGCGAAACGTCCCTCTTATAAGCACTGGGTTTCTTCAGGCTCTTTACAACTCATCGATACCCGTCGGTCTACTCCAGGCGACCGTGAGTTGAACTAAAAACGACTATTAAATAATGAAATTGGGGAGAGCTGGCGTAAGGACCGAGAAGCCTGGTGGTCAGAGCGTGCCAATGAGTTGGAAGCAGCAGCTGCATCTGGTAACTATCGGAATCTCTTTCAACTCATCCGAACCACTGACAGCAAAGTCTGGTGTGAGCGAAACAATCTATCGACGTCTTGTACGGTGGGCAAAGATTTTCGAGAGTCAGTTCAACTGGTCTGCCGCTCTGGCAACATCGATTAGACTGTCCTGCCCTCCATGACCTGTAACGGCTGATCCACCAAATGAGGTGGAAGTCCGCAGGGAACTCTAACTCTTGAAGCGCTACAAATCACCTGGCCCAGACGACTTACTTCCGGCCCTTTCTAAAGATGTTGGCCACTTTCTGGTTAAGGAACTGACTGTCTTGTTTACAAAGTTTTAGCAATTAGTCTTCAAACATCTTGGGATGAGTCGATAATTGTCCCTATCTTGAGAAAGGGTTCACGTCACCTATGCAACAGCTATCTGGTTTTCGTTCTGGTTGAGGATGTATTGATCATATCTTCACACTCCGCCAAATGTTGAAACACCGTCATACTTATCAAAGGCCGACAATAGCGTTTCTTGACATCAGGGTTGCCTTCGATTTGTTGGACTGTTCTCTGGGATTATCTATCGAAGAAGGGTGTGTCTGTGAAGTTTATTAACAACCTAAAAGCCCTATATACAAACACCTTAGGCAGAGTGAGGGCATACAACCACCTCTCTCCATCGTTCCATTCAAACAGTGAGGTTAGACAGGGTTGTCCAATCTCACCATTCCTCTTCAACTTTACTATCGATGACACTCTGGAAACAGCTGTGATGGATGTAAGTAATGACGGCGTGAATCTGTTATCTGGAGAAAGACTTCTCGACGTTGAGTATGCGGATGATATTGTTTTACTGTGTGAAATTACCCAAGCCATGCGATTCGCACTTAATCAATTGGCAATTAGTGTCCGTAGGTACGGTATGTGCTTTGCACCTTCGAAGTGCAAAGTACTTCTACAAGACTGGCAGGATTCTAATCCTGTACCCACTCTGGATGGTGTATCTAGGTATCTGCATAAGTGCTGGTGGTGGCGTGAGTGATGAGATCAATACACGTATAGTGAAAGCCAGAGCAGCTTATGCCAATTTGGGCCACCTTTGGTGCCTTCGTGATGTCAGTCTGGCTGTAAAAGGTCGGATCTACAACGTGTCGGTGAGAGCAACTCTGTTCTATGTTTGTGAAACCTGACCTCTCCGAGTTGAGAGTGTTAGACGACCCTGTGTTTGATCATCATTGTTTCCGAAGGATTGCTGACATCCAGTGGCAACACCATGTTAGTAATTCATAGGTTCGGGATCGTGCGTTTGGGCACAGCGACGATAATTCAATCGGCGTCACGCTGGGACCGGTTAGAAAAAGCGAAGAGGTGGTCAGTTTATGACATGGTGTCGTGGTATGGAAGAAAACTGTACAGAACTGGCTTCAGTTGGTCCTTTACGACTCCCTGGTTGGGGTCCTAAAGATGGTGCAACACAGTGGCTACAGACGTTATCAGATATGGCTCAGAATAGAAGTCAGCGGCGATCCCGCTGTAAATTTATTTTACTTTCATAAGAAATGGACGTAACTTCTTTCCGGTTGTACCTTTGCTAATTGAACTGCTTCTCCCATTATTATTGTTTCACTATCATACACTAAATTCTGTTCTTTATTGTTCCCCTTTTTCTTATACGCACATTACATTCTCTATCTCTTCACATTCTCATTGTTATTGTGTGATGCATATGTATCTGATGCCCTTTTGTACCAATATTTATGAGTTAAAATAAATAACATCATATACACAAAATACTGTTCAAAAGAAAAAAATTCGTATCACCTGTACAACATCATAGGCATCATTGTTCCAAATAGCATAAGGGAAATTATTATTCCGCCCAAAGTATCAGGCAAAGGGTCTGGAAAGTTGATATGTTGTGACTTTTTTGACATATTGATTAATATGAGGTAAACAATACAGACAGTTGTAGTTGTACTTACACCAATCAGTGATATTGGGTTAACTCGTGGCAAAAGAACACGTGATAACCCGGGAATAATTCGACAGATTGTCCGGCTTATATCAGTCGTATGCTCCTATATTTCAAAATATTTGAAAAAGTATAGATTATTGATCAGAGATCAGTTAACGGGTGTTATTCTCACGTTATTTCCTATGAATCCAGTTCATTCTAGTTAATAAATTCTGTTAATATATTTACTGTTTTATATAAACCGATTAATATTTATCCTATTATGCTTACGACAGTTATTGTTTTTTTATGAACGATCGCCACTGACATTATGTTTACTTATTATGGTTCAATAGCAAGTTTGTCATGAATTTAGTTGTAAAGCAGTGATTGGAGGTTAATAAATAAGCTTACATTACTTAGTATAGAATAATCTATTAACCGAATCAATGATAAATTGTGTTGCAAATGACTGAAAACTTATAGTGTTGTAAAAACTAATACTGGCTAGAATTTGGACTAAAAGGGCTGTTTCATTGGGAGAAAGGAAGTTTATGATTACACATCACTTCGTATCCAATAAGGTTTCCAAAACCAACTCTGCGAAAGATTCAGTCAGTAACAACGTAGAACTTCGTACGTACGTACATCAGTTCGAGTTGCCATACCACATTAGCACAGAGATGCAGTTGTCGATTCAAATCCCGTAGTGGTAGAGGTAATAAGAGTATAAGCAGTAATCGGAAAGATTAGTGTTTGGAGATGTTACTTAAAGAGTATAATACAGTGAAATAAACTTGGGAAGAGAAAAAAAAGAGACAAGGAGGAATCAGGAGATCAAAATTTGGGAGAACACAAAGAGTGGATGCACCTGCGCCATTGCAAACGATTTTGAGCCATGTCATTCAAGGTCTCTAACCATCGGTTGCTATCATCTCGCGGTCCCCAACCAGGTAGTCTACACCTACCGACATGACTCAGTCCACTTGTCAGTGACTTCATGGATTTGTGCCATGTTTTGGTCTGGCCGCCTCTAGCTTTCTTCCAACCTACTCCTATATCACTGAACATCGCACGTCGAAGGCAGTCGGTCGTTGGGCATACGTAACACGTGTCCCAGCCATCTCAACTGAAGTTTCACCACGTCATCGATTGATTTGCCATCCTTACCTAGTACCCGTTTCCTAACAACTGCATTACTTACTCGATGGTCCCAGGATATATGAGCAATATTTCAAAGACCCCTATGATCAAATACTAGAAACCTATGAATATCGTCTACTCTTACCGGCCATGTTTCACTGCCATAAAGCAGGACGTAACGAACTGCTGTGCAGAAAATCCGTCCTTTGGTTGATAGACGGATATCTCGCCTACGCCATAAATGACGCAAGTTAGCAAAAGCTAGTCGAACCTTCTGTATCCGTGCTGAGACTTCGTCACACACCAGACCACAAGGGCTGATCAGACTTCCAAGATAAGTGAAGCGATCGACACGCTCAATTACTTCACTCCCTATCATTAGTTCGGGTGTCGATGCAGCCCAATCCTGAAGCAACATTTTGCATTTCGAGGGAGAGAATCGCATCCCGAACATGCTTCCATTGTTGCTTAGAGTGGTCAGAAGACTCTGCATTTTGTCAGCGTCTTCGCCAAATAAAACTATGTCATCGGCATATTCTAAGTCAACAAGTGAACCTCCCGGTAGAAGTTCAACCCCTGGAAATTTAGATGAGGAAAGGGTCATCTCTAAAAGCACGTCAACAACAAAGTTAAACAAGAAAGGAGAGAGTGTACAGCCCTGACGAACACCACTTGAGGTAATCAATTCTGATGACAGTTCGCCATAAGCTCTCACTCTACTAGTTGTGTTCGAGTAGAGAGCCTGAATAAGGTTAATGTACTTCTTTGGTACTCCTTTCAGTGACAAACACTGCCATAGAACCTTACGATCAACAGAGTCGAATGCCGTCTTAAGGTCGAGAAATACTACAATTGTGGGGTGTCTAAACGTGTGTCTGTGTTCTAGAACCTGACGTAGTGTGAATATCTGGTCTATACAACCACGTCCAGGTCGAAAACCAGTCTGGTTTTCTCTGGTCTGCTCTTCACGAGCTTTCGTTAGGCGTCGAAGTATTATTGAAGCTAATATTTTATATACTATATTAGTCAAACTGGTTCCTCTATGATTGTCACAAGAGGACTTTTGTCCTTTCTTATAGACTGGCACAATCAGTGATTGAGACCAGTCAGATGGGATTACGTCCAGTTCCCAAATTCTACCTAAGACCTCAGTCAATCTCACTGTAATACTGGACCACCATCCTTAAAAATCTCAGGAGTAAACCTGTCAGGGCCTGATGCTCTCCCTCGCTTCAGATTTCCTATGGATTTTTCAACTTCGTAAACAGACGGAGGACCTACATTAACTTGCCATTCAGGTTGACTAGAGATCGTGGGAAATCGAAGTGTGGCTGAAGGCCAGTTGAACTGATCCGTGAATTATTTTGCCCATCGATCCAATCTCCTGGATTGAGAGTGTATAATATGTCCATCTTTATCTGAGAGTGTTTCGCTAACAGTCGGTTTCCTAATACCAGATTCCTTAACAAGTCTGAACAATTGTCTGCTATTACCTATTGCCGTTGTCTTTTCCATCTCTCTTGCTTTCGCTACCCACCACTGTTCACGACAATTGTGTAGACTACTTGTCAGCTTGCGCTTAAGCTGATTCCTCTTTTCATTATGTTCAGAGTCAGATGGAATGAGTTTCCGAGCATCTATCAGTGAGATAGATGCTGCTGAGATTTAGCGTTGCTCCCTAACCTTACGGTTTATCGTACTAGCGGATATCACTGCTGTTTCCACAGCTTTTCGGATATCATTCCATGCTGCCTCAGGGTGTGCATAACATACACGGCTGCCTAACTGTTTTCCTAGTTGTTCCTCAAATATACTTTTAGTTTGACTATCATTAAACAGGACCCTAAGAGGTTTACTTGCAGCGTCTTTCCTACGTCCAGAAAGACGCAGACAGATACGCGCTCGTACTAGAGCATGATCTGAATCTAAGCATGTGCTCCAGAATGAGCGACAGTCTTCTATCGAGACCCTCCATCGGTGGCTGATAGCGATGTGATCTATTTGGGTCCAACGTTAAGACGAATTAGGGGGTCGCCATGTTAAAAGATGTTTTTCCTTATGCTTAAAGTTAGTATTTGCAAGAAACAGGCGGTTATCTGAACATAGCTGCAACAGACGGTCGCCATTATCTGTTCTTTGAGCCATGATGCTATAAGATCCACCCAGGTGTCTTTCCCTATCGCTTGGTTTACCTACTTGAGCATTAAAGTCACCGGCCATTATTACTACATCTGACCGCCTAGCTTTTCGGAGAAGGTCGGAGAGTTTTCTGTAAAACTCATCTTTTACATCATCTGAGCTGCAGTCAGTGGGAGAATAGGCAGAGACGACGAAGAGGCAACGACGGGTGTCCCTATCTTTCCGGATTCTTACTGTCCCGTTCAGTCGGACAGCACACAAACGGCTGTCTACTGGGATCCACTATAAGAGAGCTAATTCTGCTCTGGGACTCAATGCTATACCTACGACGGCGAGGCCACGAGAAGCAGAATCAGGGCTTCCAGATATACGAAGCGTAAATCGAGTCGGTTCTTTATTTTGGCATGGTGAGGTCAAATGAATGACGCTACTCGGATCTTGTATGTGCGTTTCGGAGACGCGGCTAACATCGATGGCGCGGGATTCTAAAGTCCTAGCTAAGGAAGCCTGCTGTCCTATTTGGCACAGTGTTCGGACAATAAAATCACCTACGTGTAGTTTAGAGCGTGGTTTCAAGAGACTATGAATAGCGTTCCGCGAACTCGAATCGTTTGCCCTAGCAGTGCGAGGTGATAAAGAGACGTGAGGAGGGTTAGTCATGGAGATAAGAGAGGTATTAGGAGGTGTAGGAAGGATTTGAATGTGACCAACTTGACCTCGTGTGCTGTTACGGTTATGAGGGCTGATATCACTTCCCGGCTGCCCACACCGTGGAAGGGTATTTCTTGAGGAACCTGAAAATGAAATTGGATTAGTGTTGGTCATAACGACCTGGGAGCGTGACCGCAGAACCCAAGGGACAACTGCTTGAGGCCGGTCGCGCACGGCCTTTTCGTGGACGGTTTTTAATGTGTTAGCTCCGTTCTTCAAAGGGCTTTACCGCCGGAGATGGAAATCCATGAGGTAAGGTGAGGTGTGACGTTTTTAGGGTCGACCTTTTCTAACCCCACCCCTCCTTGTGGGAAGGCAGCATCGCTGCAGATGCTGTTTGTCCGAGGGAAACACCTTACTGCTGCCACACCCCTCCACAGTCAGCAGTACGACTTCGCCCTCAGACCTTGAGTTGCTGCTTTTAGTCTTACCGTTCTCCAGTCGACCTGCCTGGCATGGTAGAACCCACAGGAACATATGTTCCAGCCAATATAGCTCGGTTGGGTCGTCACGATAGGCAAGCCCGACCACCGCGTTGAGGTAGCAGCTTCGGTCGGGACGATTATTTTCTAAAAGGAAACTTTTCTGTCAGGTAAGACACAAACAAACACATGATCGTACTAAAGTATGATCAGAGTCTAGACATGTGCTCTAGAATGAGTGGCAATCATCCATCAAGCTTCTACAACGATGGTTGATGACGTTATGGTCATCATGTCAGACGATGCCTATCTAGTTGAAGTGCGCTCGATAGTCGTGATCGGTGATTAGAAACGTTAGGTGCCATATCTCAAAATCAGTAACGGTGACGTAGATGCATTATTTTTTTCATCTACATCCTGGTCTTGAATTCAAGTATTCTTTCATACGTACCTTCTCATCCAGTCTTTTCAAACCGTATTACCAATGTTTATTATTTCTTACAATCATTGCTGCCATACTATTTCTATTCATTTGCCATTCATGTTTTCAAATTTAATTTATCGCGTTAATGTGGCATGATATGTTGAACTAACAGTCATATTTACCAAGCTAACTGTTGACCATGATTGATTGATGTTTAGAAAGATTAGTCGTTGTCCCAAGTTCGGGTATTAATACTAATAGCATTCCGGTCCCAGATACTTTTTATTCAAGTAGAGATAATAGTTGTTACCATTTTCATGATAGGATGTATATCAAATACTTACAGCATAGTAAACAAGTGTATAGGAACTCAATGATACAATATTCTTTCAAAACGGATAATGAGTGGCAATTTAAAATAGCCATTTTTATTACCAAACACAATCCGTGTAATTTTTGAAATAAAATTTATCCTGCAGAAACGTGCGTTTTCAATCTTTTCATCCTAGAAACAGATGTATAATTGTTGTTAACATTTAAATTTAAGTTCATTCGTGAAAATTCATTTTTTGCGAGCATTTGAACAGAGAGGTCAGTAAAGTTAAAACTACACATTCAGTCGTTATTTATGAAGCTCCAGACAATATAGGTTTACGACAATATCTAATGCTTTGAATCCTTTTACTGTTGCTTAGAACACCATAGTTTCTGGTTAAGTATTCGTTTAGTGCGAAGTTATGGTTGTAGCTGAACTCAAAACCCTGATAAAGCGATAATTACAACAAACTTATAAAAAAGAATTCTTGATATTTAAGCCAGTTATTGGCTTTTTTTTAATATTTTTAGAACTGATGAAGATAGATACCTTAAACAAACTAATGAATGAAATACTTAATAAAAATTAGTTGGAAAATAATTTTTACATATACGTATATATGACTGACTTGTAGCCAACTTGATCCACAAGCTTGGATGACATGTGTAAAAGCCATATTATCAATTCCATAAACGGAAAGAAGATGAACACCAAATGCTATTAAACAAGGCGTAAGCATATGATTAGAAGAGATCTAAATTATGAAACACAAAACAATATTGAAACCAGTTAAGTCTGTACATTAAAATTTCACCAAACATGTACAGATAAAAAAAATACATATTAATTGTTACATTTCACATTGGTCATCCGAAAGAAACTGGTTGTTGAGACAAATGAATACCAAGTCATTGATGCTGTAACAAACGTATTTTCAAACTTAATAAGAAACCTTAGGAAAACACTGAAGAACAATTCCAATAAACATCAAACTCAGAATATACGAACCTTGTAATGAACACTTAACCGTGCTGTGAAACATGGACTCCAAGAATAGAGGATATTTGTAGGTTACTAATATTCGATTATAGGTGTCGTCGAACCAGTGCTTGAGTATTTTGAGACCGCCAAGTGAGCCAATCTAGGGTTAGACATTTATTATTTATTTGTTTGAACACATGAATATTGATAAAAGGGGACACCAAATAGATATGCGCCACACAATAACAATGAGGCCAGTAGCAGTTATCACAGATTTGTGGGAGGGCTGTAATACTACTCGGGTGCCCAGACTGAAGCAGGTGGTTTTCCTAGGGAGCCACACCCCGAGCCTTCGACCTAAACGTCTAATCCACAAGGCAGCAGAGCAACGTAGGGAGATGCAGTTTCATGGTAGCCGGTCACCAACAATAGGTTCATACACCTTTTGTTCCATCAGGATACTGGAGCTCATGTACACCATTGGAATCAGGGTTTTCCAACTCCCTTAGGTGAACTCTCCGTATCCACCAACCCAGTTAAAGCATCTGACATTCGCTTTTCGCCCTCTCAATTTCATAAACAACAGTAATTCCGCGAGAATGCAGTGAGTAGGACTTCCCTGGCAGTTGTGTGCACGTGGTCATGTGAGAGCATTTCGAGATGGAGAGCTGACTCTCTCCACTCTCAGCCGTACTAAGGCATTTGGAAGATCTAAGTACGACAGTGAATTTGATTAGTGAAGCGGCGGATATTCATCAACTAAGGTGGTTGAGGAATTTATTACGTATTTCCGACCACCACCTATCTTGACGGGCGTTTTCTGTAGTGTAGGACTAGAATGGAAGAAAACTAAGGGAAGTCAAACGTAGATGTGGCACCATCCATGGGGTCGATGACTGTTAGACTTGTCCATAAAATTACATGCAGATTACTTGGTTGGGGTCTGCGCAACTACAGTAATGCTATTACTGGCATAGCTTGGAGTCCACCTCAATAGCGCAGGTGCATTTATTCTTTATCTCCCCTTAGTTTCTGAATTCTGAAATTTCTTATACCTTTTTTCTGCATCTAATCTCTTCTACTACTAATGATACTGTTAATACTTCTGCTGCTCTGAGATTTACCTTGATAATTTTATCTCATTATTCTAATGTGGTATGGTAGCTTGAGCATATGTCAAGTTCTGTGTTGCATACAACTGACTTGCTAACTTAGCCTTTAGACGACTGAATTTGGATTCAATTGTTTACATTTCTAACTTCAGTCAATTGGAAGCATCATGTGAATATGATTCATTTCCATTAGTGATTTTTCTCATGCCAGATGCATCCTCTTACACTAATAGTCATCATGTGACTAGCCTTGAGAAGTGACGCCCTGAGTTCTAGCAAGGAGCCATGACTTGTGTAGTTCATCCACATCGAGTATAAAATAAATATTACCAATGTTAGTGGATGGTGATTGTATAATACGGAGCATCGACTAAAGTTAGAAATGTAAAATGCTGAATCTTAACTCAGTTATTTGAAGATTAAGCATTTGTCGTGCGACCTGGTCTTGGGTTTGACTCTTGGTAGGACCGTGGATGAGAAGTATTGGATTCCGCACTAGCACAAAACAGCTATCCAGTACTTCCTATTTTTCAATGATTATTTAACTAAAGTCAGTCCATGACGTTATTGAGAATGATATATCCCCAAATACAACGTTTGAGCAAGAAAATCAATCTTGAAGTCCGAACATCAGTTTACAGTTATTTTCACTTGGTTAGTGTTCAGCGTATTTTTATTGTATTGATTAATTCATTATGATTTTGAATTCAGTGACAATCACTCAGTAATTTATAAGTACTTATTAATCAACATATACTTTGAATAAACTTAAGTGTAACCTGATTCTTCTAGTGTCTCTATTAAGAGCTTTTACAAAAACTCTGACTTCTCACTCTAGTTTTTAGTCAAGAAAGAGAATAGAACTGGTCTCATTCATCATATTTGAAGTCATAGTTAAAAATAATTAACCTAGTATACATACATATCACATGTAGGACTAAAAACTACTATTAACAGCAACTAGTACTGTAGGTTACACTTAAATATTTGAGGTAATTTACTAGATTGGTTTCGAGGACCTCATAATTTTAAAACAATGGAAACTTCTAAACATGTTTTGTCTTGACCAAACTATTCTCAACAATTTACGTTTTTTGATCTACTTAAACAATAAAATTAGAAAATATACGATTTTGTATTAATGACACTTTTGCTCAGGTGGTCAGAACCTCGAGGTTATTATTGGAGTTTTGGTCATCCAATTCAAAAATTCGCGAATGTCTACAGAAAAGTACGCTACTACGATGAATACTCGAGATGAATTGTTGATCCGAATCTTCAGTAAGGACTTTAGAAAAACCATCACTTTGCAGCTGGTCACGAACTACACATGGTTAACCGGTTTTAGGTATTTAGTTAACAGTTTGACGGTTGAAAGGTATTGTTAGAGATATAAACAATGAAGCCATCCGAAAACTTATCAAGACCACTGTTGTTCATGTTTCATCGCAAAAAATAGATGTACATCTAATTTACAAATTACAATATAGTCTTGTAAATTAATTGTATGACAGTAGATTTTAAGTGGAAAGTAAAGTGTTTCATCCGAAATGGAATGCCTGAAACACATGACACCAAAAATTTTATAATCACATAAATATATTAATATGTTTTTTTCCTTAATTAAGATGCTCACCTCTGCAGGTTCAAATATCCGTTCGACAGCCTCTTTTATTTCGAAAAACGATAAGAGAATAGCCAAGATAGTGGAAGCAAAAACAGCAACTACTTCAAATCTTTCATACCCCAAGCTATAAGATTCAATGGAGGCTTTTTTTCTGTTAGCCCAAAAGCTTATTAGTGCGACAATAACCGATAATAAGTCGAATATCAACAAATGCGTAAATGCTGTCAACGTTAAGCTAAATTTATGAGGAATATGAGGATTTATAACTAACCTATTACTAATATTGCACTCTATCAACAAGTACAATAAACAAGCTAGGATGACGAAAGCGATACGAACAGCGCGTACTGCTTTAGCTTCAATTTTTGCTAGTTGTTTAATTTCCGAGACTAAGTATGATAATAAAGTATGTGCGGATTGGAAGTCCTGATAAACGGCATTGATTAGCTGTAGGCAAGAAAACATTCTGAAAAGAGAAACAACTAATGATTAACAAGACTTAATGTTTTAAATAAATAAAAGTACAAACTGAAGTACGATATTATGTTCATATTAAAACAGTTATCAACATTTCTATGATTTGTTTTATTCAAAAGAAGAGTCCTCACAGACTGTTTCCATTGTTTTAGAGACTGTTACGCAATCTGATGTCTGCAAGGCCTTCGGAATAGCATCACAGTCTTCATTATCATCAGAATCTCTACTACAGAAATGTTGATGAAGTCTTTCCATATCCTCTGGAAAATTCGAACACAATAATTTTTTTATGGATCGGATACGTTTGAAGACATCATCCATTTCCTTTTTTAGTGACATTATTGTCTTTGTATGAGCAGTTAATTCTGTAAACAATATTCTACATCTTCCGTCAGAAAGCTCAGAAACCGTTCGAAGCATCTCATTTGTTTTTTCAAACTTGGTAAGCATAGATTCTTGTAAAGCAATTATATTTACTGCCTCTGAAGAATTGATCAAATTTCCGATAGAAAAATTAAGCGACTGAGAGGATGACATTATATACACAGAACATCTAAGTTGCGAAATAAAATGAATATAAAATGTGGTAATTCGTGAAACGTTAACTGATGTCATAGATATACAAATTTTTGTTCATTAAAAAAATATTACTCACATTCTTTATTTTACTGACTAAAGACCAAAGTGAATGACTCTAACATTTAGTTTAACCTAATTATCCATATGTACTTATAAATGTGTTCAAGAAAGTCTTTTAAATTTAATCCGTCAAAAAGAGCACATCCTTTGCATCCCAAAGGATTAAATTACATGTTTTTCCTAAGGACAAGAAGTATCAAACGACTAAATGCGACTTAGTTAGATTATGGCATTGTATAGCCAAACGATTTAACCAATATAATCGATGTTTAAAAGCGTTTATGCCACCATTAACCCCATCCTTTAGAGCTGTTTTTAACAAGACAGCTATGGATAGGTAGAAAAAGAACGATGAGACTAAACAACCGACCCTAACCCCACTGCTAGGTTGGAACACTACAGAGTAGTTATATCCCTTTATTTTTTCCGATGTATTTGTGTAGAACGCCTTCAATACCCTGAGAAACTTCCCAAACATTTTTCTTCAATAGAAAATCATACAGTACAGTTCCATCCAACGAATAAAAGGTTTCGAGACAAATAAACAAAACAACTGTTGGCCTGAAATGTGTTGCGGTGCCCCAACACTTGACGGATGCGCACATCTAATACAAAAGCGAAAACCACTCTCTTTATGAGTCAATCTCCTGCAGATTTTCACAATCTTTATTCATGTATACATTTTGTATTCTGAAACCACATTCTCAATACTTATTTTTAATTGGCAACTAGACACATTCTAAGTATGAGCATTAGTGATACTATCAGACCACACAAGCCGAAGTAGAGCAGGGTTTGAGCCCGGGACTAAATGTCTGAAAGCCACTGTGCTACTGCCATTGTCATTGCTACTACATAATCCTGAATCCTTTTTAGTTATCTTATTGATATTATCCTACCGTGTTAGTGTCGAAAGGTAAATTGGGCTAACGCACATGTGTCACGCTTGATGTCGGTTAGACTTGAGATTAGCGTCGTCCATCCCTTAATTATATTACACCCCAAGCTGCCACTTTAGGGGAAGCCGCTATAGTAAATTTTGGGGAAATGAGACCCAAACCCCGAAATTTCCCCAAAGTTGGCAGCTCGAGACCCTAAAATACCAATGCACTTTCAAACCATATATCTAGCTAATGATATGTAGTCAGATACTTTTTAGACGCTACAGATTGAGTGAACTTCAAAATTCCCAGAATTAACCTCGAAATCTTGACGGATGTCCAGCATCAGTCAAAAACGTTTCGGGGATGTGCATTCAGTTGAGTGTGTGAGTAACGTTTCGCTAAAAATTAATGGAAAGATACTCTCAGTAAACGAAACCCCCACCCTATTGCTTATCAAGGATATCTTGCACAAAACATGACCACTATACATTTTTTGCATTTGCTAGGCTATAAACTATGGTCAATTAATTAGGCCCAGGAATAGAAACTTAGAAATTGAGCTTATCAGTGAAAAGATATTAGCAATCTCCAGGTTGCTTACGTCACCATCTCTAATGAGTCACATAGGCCGATTTGCAGGGGATATAATAGTTATGGCTATGACTATCACAGCTGCAGCTAGCTGTGAACTGGTTGATTTAAAATGCAAACAAGATGCTCTGAAAAGAACATTGCCTGATAACTGGTTCGCAAAACAAGTTAGAAAAAATACAGTTTCTAGCCAATATTCATATCAAATGATGCGTACCCGTAGACAGACTGCCGTCGCTTTACTATAACTAGCAACGTAGCACACGAAATGAGTAGCGCGCCGAAATAATATGATGCTCAACATCTATTGCTTCACAACAATTCAAGGTCGTGAGTAGGACGTACGAGAAAATCGTAATCTTTGTACGTCAAAGACGGTACAGATTCATTCAATTTATTGTTTTGTTTGAGTTTTTGGTATTTAAGCTGGTCTTTCACTGTCCAATGTCTGACTCAAGTGAGGTAGAACACCAAGGAAGTTAAAGCAACATATATCTTATGCACTTCGTTAATATTGATGTAGACTTTGCAGTTCGAGTAGGAATATATGTAGATAAATAATATATCAGACCCCAGCTAGTTCAAGCGAAGGATAGCAGTCGACAAGATAAACATGTGAACAGAACAGGCAAAAAAAGTTGAAGAGGTAATAAAAACTTAAGAATCAATAGCTCTGAAAGACTTTAGTGCCCTTTCAATCGATCATAGATATCTTATCGTCTATTTAAGCTCATCTTTAGCCAGGTGATCGCCTCAAGAATCTTGACAACTGGACTACACTTCGCAGCTTACTTCTGTTGTGGATGTTAGATCCTCTGAACTCACTTGGTAAAGGACCTAATTTTGTAGTTTTTTAACATACTTGAGTTTCATTATTTTCGCGTCAAAATACTCTTTTCTCCTTAATGTCGTCTTTCCAACTTGAGAGAATCTTAAATGCGATTGGCCCTTTGTGTCTTTTAGTATGCTATTTTGTAACTCCCGCAAGGACGTTTTTGTGCTGCATATATAGATTTTGATTTGTGTTTGTCGTTATCACTGATTCCTGGCTATCTGCAGAGTATACTCCCCCATTCCAAGCTTGGACTTCCTCTTCTAGTTAGCGGAGCTCGGACGCATAAAAAAACTAGCTTGTTTTTCGGTCACCGAGTCTTTGATCCATTCACTGTTCAAGTGAACTCGTAACCGCTTCAGACCTAGCAACTTCAGATCTGCAAAACACTTATGAAGCAAGCAATGTAGTTACAGACGCCGTTTAACAAACTTTCGCTGAACAGTCTCAAGATATCGACATTCTTGAATTCACTAGCTTCTGAATGAAGACACTGATCTTCTGCACAAGCTGCACTTGGAAACGCTGAAACTAGATATCAAACAGAACGAATCTGCTGAGAAAAATTTGCGTCATGACGCACATACAGATGTGAATCGTACAACAGATCCGCAACATTAATAAAACAACGTCTTCAGTACGCTGATCAAGCTTTCTCATCCAGGCGTACGAGCAACCATCAAGAACGTTTTTGTTGGTCAGTTATCAGGTGTGCACTCTCCTGCATAAGCTGCCAGAAATTAAGGGTGGTTAGACACAACGATGGTCGTGTTGACCATGTTCATCTGGGTTTAGTAGGACCCTTACCAGATCCAATGGATACACTTATCTCTTAACTTGTTTAGACCGTTTCACTCGATGACCGGAAGCGGTACAAATCAAAGACATTGATACGCGCCTCTGTCAAATGGTGAGTAGCGAACTTTGGCTGTCCTTCAACTATTACCACAGACCGTTGACATCGATCGGAATCTGAACTTTTATGTTGTCTGACTACATTGTTAGGAATAACGCGATTCCAAAAACTTTTCATCACCCTTAAGGAAACGGTTAGTTAGAACGCTTTCAGTGACAGCTGATAGCTTCACTCTCAGTTGTAAACTTTTCATAGTGAACCAGTGCTCTTCCACTCGTCTTACTTGAAATTCGAAATCCAATGTAAGCTAAAATTGAATACACTTCATCTTAACTAGTTTATGGAACGGTCATTTGACTTCCAGGAGAATTCGTGGATCTTTCGTTTTCTTCAAAGAATATGGATCTAAACTCCTACGCGACCATACTTATAAACTCGGTGCGTCCACTTGAACCTGTTTCCGCCCAACCACAACCAACTGTTGATTTCGTTCAACCTGCCCAACGATATGGTACACAATCTATGTACGTCGCGAACCACTTCGACGTCCTCTGGAAACGGAGCACGAAGGACACTTCAGTGTCTTTCAGCGTGAACCTAAATACCACAAAGTCGATAAAGACGAAACTAAAAATAGCATCAGGATCGATCGCCCCTAAAGGGGCGTACCCAGAAGAAGAATCTAGTCATGTCGATTTCCCTCGAGTATAATCGAACGACGAAAGCCCCACATGATAATACCCCATCCGACAATTAAAAGTTAAAAGAAGCCTCTGTGTTGTTTGACAGCCGGTCTAAAACAACGCGTTCAGACAAAAATGAAAGGTTTCTGGAACACTAGAAAGAAGATTGCACGTCGGACACAACACAACATCTTGTTTCTTCTCGTTATTGCTATTTTTGTGCTAAAAAACTAAAACCAACTTTTTTCGTTGATAATATGGTTTTACGTGCATATATCTTTCCGGAAATTCCCCAAAAATATAAGTGGGCAATAATTTTTAAACGCTATCGCATGAACTTACACATCATTTTTTCCTTTCCAGGAAGGCTGGTAAAGATGAAAAACAGACGCTTAGAATTAAACGAAATTTTTTTGTACTTGTTATTCATTGTTATATTGCACCACATGTCCCCTTATAGTTAGGAAAGACAACCAGACCCTACTGAGCTCAATGAGCCATCACAAGTGTGTTTGTCAATGGGAAACGTGTTGAGTTTAAACTTGTTCGCGAACACGTTTTAAGGTCGACACTATCCCACTGGTAGTGAGAATGATCTTTAGCGGTGAACAAGTCACCAAAACCAATAGCTCTGTAAGTCTTCAACATTTGATGCTAACCGCATTAGTTTTACTGGAATTACCTAGCTGAAGGCGCTTGGTCACTCATCCCTGAGTGGGTTCGTCGTGTTATGCATTTATTGCAAATGTTAGCTAGCCTAGCTCAGAAACGTCTCGATATATACATAGTGTAGATCGTCAACGTAGATGATCCATGTCGAAATGATTGGAGGCCTACTCGAGTTAGACGTGAATGATGTGACAAACTAGCTGATGTTGAATTCACACCTGATGGTCAGCACCTTACGTGAACTACCCCATCGACGTATCAAGGTACCATAGATGCTTTGAAGACTGTACAACACAGAGAACTTTATTACAGAAATATATTAGTTAAAGTATATACAATCGAAAGTAAGACCACTGCCGAATGGACCAGTCCATGGTATACGATTAACCGATGCGCGTTGGTTGTCTTTGACCTTGAGAAAATCGACGATTTGTTCGGTATTAAACGATTCAACTGTCGGGTGATTTGGCTAGGGCTTAGTGACATTTCGCTGGCCCTACAATAGCTTTCGAAATACGTATTAAAATCTCTTCATTTCTGACTTCCGATTCGACTGAGGTGTCACAGTTCAATGGTAAGGGCATTGTCGAATTCCGAATAGTTATTGCATCTTTAGAACATTTCGTAATATTTCTTCTGGTGTTCAAAAATTTTCTGTACTTCTTTCGTTATCATTGTTGGAAATTTATTGGACTATATGATCGAAATAGGAGCGTAACTGAGTTGTGTGTACCTATAAATTTTGACCATGCTTCGTCACTTAATGGATCGGTATTAACTGATCTTCTTACTTTTTGCTACGTACCTTGAGGGCTTGGATGCTTACTCCCAATGCACTTGTAGGCGATTTATTCTGAGCATAGATCACATCATAAACTCTGCGTTTCAATAACCAACTGTTTGATTACTAGTGCATAATGGTGTGAAAGTATATATGCAGGAAATATCTTCGGTTTCATGAGTGACTAATAAATTTATCAACCAAAGTCCTCGAGTCGAACCAGCACATCTGAGATCAGGTACACATTGTACTAGAGCAAGCTCCATCAGTCAAGCAGATCTTACAAAGGAATGTATGATGATAGACATCTCTCGATTATTTGCACCATACCCATTAAAATACCTGAGTATCGGGCAGCGGTTGCTATTACTTCATTGATGAATTTACTTGAAAGTGAAATTGCTAACTAAGCGGATAGAACTACGAAAGACGACGTTAACTAAAAATGTACTGCCTTCGAATTTGAGTTCATAGATACGACCTCACGGGCACAGCATTCATAAAGCTCGCGAACAAGGAAGTATACATGGGCGTTACTAACAGAACGCAAAACTTCTGCACCCTTTTTCGTTATCTTTTTCTATCGCTTCTTAGGCAAGTGTAAATCAGTAGTTGTACAGAGACCTCAGAGTCAAGGTCTGGTCAAATTTCAAAAACAGCTATGATCAGTTATCTTAGACCGTTCACTAACACTTATGATCTACAAAATTTTTTTAAACTGTAAGCCACGGTGTATAAAACTTCTAAAGAGGATGATCTGGCACGGTAAACATAGTAAAATTCGAAATATCACAACTGTTTCCCTGAGGCCAGAATCAGATAACTTTACTAACCCGTGAACAGTGATCAGCTCCACTAAATAGAACACAGATTTCAAAGAACTCACAGTCTGTTATTTCTCAAAAGCAAAGTTTGAGGCTTGAGGTTCGATTATTTTTAAAGGCGCTTTACTAGATATTTTCAAGGTCAAACATGAGATGGTGATTTTTGAGACGTAAGTTTTGGTTTGCGTTGTCATTGGGAAGTCGCTTTTTTCGGGAATACCGTAGCTTGCTATTTCTTTTGGATAAGTGAGTAAAGGTTAAGTGGTTCCTCAGCATTTTCTGAAAGTCCACAAATCAATCATCGCACCAATTTTGGGAAAATATAGTCTTACGTCGTTGATATTTCTGGGAGCTTGAGACTCTCTTTATGTCTTCCGAAATTAGGTTCTTCTTTATTGTCTATTATCATTACCACAGAAAATTCCTCATACATGGCTGAAATATTTCAGTTGTCACTATATAGTGACAACTTTAAGTTAACGTAAGGTACCATAGTTTTCTCCCGAACGTTCCCCAGTACCCGTCTATATTTATACCATAGTTTTTTCCAAGGGCCGTTTAACTTCTAGTGACCTCCTTGTATACGAGTTATTGATCAGTGACTTGCATCCAGCAACCCATGTTTTTAGATCTTAACAAAGTTTCT